CCCGAGCCTGGGCAGCCACGGAGCAAGGGCTCGGTCACCGCCGGTGGCACAGGAAGGGCAGAAGTGTCCCAGGGATTCCCGCCCGCCCGGGGAAGGAGGCACCCACAGGCCCAGCCCTGCTGCGATGGACCCCAAGCAGTGCCCGGCCTGGGGCAGGGGGGGCCGGGGAAGCTGCTTTCCCTTGCCAGGAGCCCCCGTACCTCTCTCTGCTCCGGGAGCGGGGTCAGGCTGCGGCGCACGATGGGGACAGAGCCCTGGGCCCAGGAGTCGGTGATGCAAGCCACCGGCTCCTCATCCTCCTGCCACGTGGCGTCCTCGGCCAGGCCAGCCTCGCCCTCGTCCCGCGCCAGGAAGCGCCACTCGGCGATCTGCAGCATGGCCTCGCGCGCCTGGCTGACGGTGAATGGGACGCGCTGCGGGAGCACGTGGACGCGCTCAGCCTGAAGCCCCCGGCCACGGCAGTGTTGGGGCCGGCAGATGGCAGTGGCTAGAAGGGTGCTGGCAGGGAGGGGGTGAAGGGGATCCCGCGAGCGTGGGAGCCCATATAGACATGGGTGTTATGCTATAGGCGCCGGAGGGCTAGGGCAGGAGCTGTTACAGCCCGCTCTGGCTCTCGCTCTGTGCCGCTCCCCATGGCATTTGGTTCAGGACCCGGCAGCTCCGCTCATGCCCCACGTGCCAGCGGGCGAGGGCCAAGGTGGGGGCAGCACCCGGAAGGAGCCCCGAGGGCACCTGCCCACCCAGCCGGGAGCAGGCGGAGGTGACCCGTGCCCTGCTGCGCTGTCTTGCAACGGGCCGGGCGTCTCCGCAGCCCCCGCGCAGCTCTGCTGGGCTCCCCGCCGCGGCCACGTGCTCGCAGCCAGATGGCCCGGGCCCTCGGGGCTGCGCCAGGCTGCCCCATCTGCCGCAGCATCGCTGGGCCACATGCGGCTTGCTTCCCTCGCCCCTTGGGGCAGGGGTTGAGGCAGGGGCAGAGGCCTGGAGAGGAGGCCGTGGGGTCCCATCCTGCTTGGAGCTGGGTGAAATTACATGAAATTACTGTACTTGCTTGAGTATAAGATGCCCCAAATAAAAGACAACCCCCCCCACAGCTCCGGTCTATACAGGACACCTATCAGTTTGTTATCGTTCTCCGGGCACAGAATCGACTTATTGGAGGTTTGCTTTAAAATGGTCCCTGCTGCAGCAGGGCAATAAATCTGGGGTCTGGGTGGACCCTTGCCCTCTGCCCCGCCCTTCTTCCCCCTGCAGCCCCTTCCCGTCAGACCCAGCCCTCCCTGAGCACATGGAAGTGGGGCCACATCTGAAAATACTGACTTGCTGCTCCATGTGTCAGGGGGTTTGAAGCCTCCCCCAGCGGCGCTGGTGCTGCTGCAGCCCAGGCTGGGGCTGGGGCTGGGCTGGGCCAATGCTCCTGCTGCACCGACCCCGCAGGGTCCTGGCTGGAGGGTCTTGCCCCTGCGCTCAGGCTCAGCCCTGCGCTGAATTGGGGCAGGGAGGGATTTCCCCCCTGCTTAAACTGGTCCAGACTGGAGGGCTTTGCCTTCCTCTGCAGCGGGGGCACGGCCTGGGCCTAGGCTTTGTGCATTGCCTGCAAGCTGAAGTGCCTGGGCCTCCACAAACGGGCTTTCAAGGGATACTTTTCCACCTACTCATACACAGCGCCGGGCAGGCTGGCGGTTTACACCTAACACGGGGGGCGGTCATAGATGTAGCTGTAGGGTCGGAGGGACCTGAGCAGATCATCGAGTCCAACCTCCTGCCCTGGGCAGGAATGAATACTGGACTCATATGACCCCCACTAAGTTAAGCTCATATGACCCCAGCTAGGTAGTTATCCAGCCTCCTTTTAAAGCCCCCCAGGGTAGGAGCGAGCACCACTTCCTTTGGAAGTTGGTTCCAGATCCTAGCTGCCCTGACAGTGAAGTAGCGCCTCCTGATGTCTATCCTAAATCTATGCTCTGGTGTCTAGTCTGAATCTACTCTATGTCAACTTATGGCCGTTATTCCTTGTTACTCCGGGAGGTGCTCAGGGGAACAAGGTCTCTCCCATCCACCCCTGGTTCCCTCCAGTAAGTTTATAGGCGGCCCCCAGGTCCCCCCCAGCCTTCTCTTGTGGAGGCTGAACAGGTTCAGGTCCCGTCGCCTCTCCTCGTAGGGCCTGCCCTGCTGCCCCGACCATGTGAGTGGCCTCCTCTGGCCCCTCTCCGTGCTGTCCACATCCCTCCTGACGTGCGGCGCCCAGAACTGGACGCACTACTCCAGCTGCGGCCTGACCAGTGCCACGTACAGGGGGAGGATCACCTCCTTGCACCTGCTCGAGATGCATCTGTGGATGCACGACAAGGTGCGGTTGGCCTTCCTGACCGCGTCCCCACACTGTCGGCCCATGTTCATTTTGGCATCAGTAATGACTCCAAGATCCTTTTCTACCTCTGCACTGACGAGAAGGGAGTTCCCCAGCCTGTAGGTGTGCTGCGGGTTCTTCCTCCCCAGGTGCAGCACCCTGCACTTGTCAGTGTTGAAACCCATCCTGTTCTCATCCGCCCACCCCTGTAACCTGTCCAGGTCCAATTGCAGACTATTCCTCCCTTCTAGCGTGCCCACTTCTCCCCACAACTTAGTGTCGCCTGCGAATTTGAACAAGGTGCTTTTCACCCCCTCGTCCAAGTCGCTGATGAAGATGTTGAACAGTGCAGGCCCAAGGACCGAGCCTTGGGGGACCCGACTGCCCACAGCCCTCCAGGTCGAATAAGACCCGTCCACCACCACTCTCCGGGTGCGGCCCTCCAGCCAGTTAGCGACCCATCTGACTGTGTAGGCATCGATGCCTACACAGTTGCCTAGATTTTTAACGAGAATGGGGTGAGAGAGAGTGTCGAAGGCCTTCCTAAAGTCCAAGTAGACTACATCCACTGCTACCCCTGCATCCAAGGATTTTGTGACCTGATCGTAGAAAACCACCGGGTTGATCTGACAGGACCTGCCTCGAATGAACCCATGTTGGTTGCCCCTGAGCATAACCTCCCCTGCCGGCCCCTGGCAGATGTGCTCCTGGATAATTTTCTCAAAGAGCTTCCCCAGGACCGAGGTAAGACTAACGGGCCTATAGCTTCCTGGGTCCTCCTTCCTCCCTTTTTTGAAAATGGGGACCACATTGGCCCTTTTCCAGTCCTCCGGCACCTGGCCAGAGCACCATGAGTGCTCGTCGAGCCATGCCAGGGGTCCCGCAATGCCCTCTGCAATTCCCTCAGCACTCGGGGGTGGAGATCGTCAGGACCTGCTGATTTAAACACGTCCAGTCCCTCCAGAAGTTCCCTGACTAGGTCCTCGCTGACCCTGGGCCTGGCTGCGCCCCTGCTTAGTTCGTCCAGGATCCCGGTGGGGGGATGTCCCGGTCCGTGCCCAGAAATATGGAGGCAAAGAATCTATTAAAGAGGTCAGCTTTATCACCTAGTGCAACCACCAGATTGCCAAGCGTGTCCTGCAGGGCCCCACGTTGCCCGGCGCTTTCTTTTTACTCCCTATGCATTTAAAAAAGGACTTCTTGTTGTCTTTGATCCTGGTCACTAGTCCCAGGTCTGTCTCCACCTTGGCCTTCCTAACAGGCCTCCTACAGCCTCCTTTTTAGCTTTGAGACGTTCCTGAATGCCGTTGGTGATCCAGGGGGCTTTTGAGCACTCTTGTCCCCTTTGACTCGTGTTGGGCCTGTCGCCCCTTGGGCTCGGAGGAGCGTCTCCTTAAGGAACGACCGCTTGTCTTGGACTCCCAACTCCCCTCCCCGCCGGGACCGCGATGCCTCTCCTACCAATCTCCTCAAGTCCTTGAAGGCGGCCCTCCTGAAGTCCAGGGCTGCTGCCTTGCTGCAGGGCTTGGACACCCCGCGCTGGACGGACGATCGCGGTCACCCCGGCGGGCAAGCACCCGCAGCCCCTCACCAGGTCCTCACCCGCGGCCAGCACCAGGTCCAACAAGGCATTTCCCTGCAGGGTCTGTCCCCAGCGGGCCACGCGGGGGGATCGTGGCCCCCAGACACGGGGGAGCCGAGAGCTGGGCGCGATCCAGCCGGGCTCGGCAACGGGGCGTCGGGGGCTCCGGGCAGGGAGTGCGGGGCCTGCATCTGGATGCTGCGCACACACACACGCCCACACGCGCCGCCCCGCCCCGCCCCGC